CTTTCATTGCCGGATTCTCCCGTTGTCACTACTTTCATAAGCAAAGGCCTTATCATAAATCTGCCTTAGTCTAACTAAAAGGGCTTGGAATGCATAATACCAGTGACGTAGTAGTGATGTTTTTTAAACATTTAATAACTCGAACTGTATATGCAGATATTTATAAAACAACATAGTGACCACTGACTCCTAATATGCTCTGGCTTAATTAAATGCCTCCTGAAAAACCAGCTCCTTGTATAAGTCCCTTGAAGTTAAAGCCGCCATCATTATATTGTGCTATGTGTAAGTGTGCCATGTGGGAAGTGACTACATGCATCACGTCCGGTATTCATACACTGCACAATATAATTTTCCTCTAATTTTCAATATGCATATAACAGTATTTATCAGGTTCGGTATAATCATAATTGTTCTTTTCTTCAGGCATCTGAAACGATGCTATCTGTATGTATTCGATACCGAAAAATTGCTTTCTTGAAGTAGTCCGATATCATGTTGGGTTTGGTTGGTCCTTGTGATGCCTTGAATTTGGCCTTTGCCCGTGCCCACGTGGCCTCTACCCTGTTGGTACATACCCCCCGTCACCGGGTCTACAAAGTGTACCATGTGATTCACGGTACCATACCCCATGCCTGGCCGGTTCCCAGGTTGGGCGCATGCACGCCACATGTCGGTCCATATTATTGGCCCGGTAAAAACAATATAATATGCATGAGAATATATCGTAATGATAAACATTAAACATTATCTATGAACAATTTTTTTTTCTTTTTTTCCCCATATTTCCCCCCCCCCCCCCCACAGGGATTTTATTGATTTTCATTTGAAACAAATTAACAAATATATAATTAATGGAGGGACTACTTTGTCATTGGAGTAGGTATACAAGTTGGGCGCATGCACGCCATGTGTCGGTCCACATTATTGAGCCCCGGTGGTAAAAACGATATAATATGCATGAGAATATATCATAATTCAAATATGATATACATTTAATTGGCGAGATTATGGCGTTTCCACCGTTTACTTGTTTACTTGTTTGTTGAGGCTTGAAGCATCAGCTTATGAATCCATTGTCACAATCACAGCTTTATTACGTTGATAAGGGTTATATTTGTATATTTGTATATCGTCATTGGATGATTTTTCGCCAATAAGTTTCAGATGCTAATCATTCTGCATGGAATCAAGGGAACCATAAAAGACTAAGGCAGTCTTATCAAAATAGTTCCCTTATGACAAAAGTTGAAAGTGCTCGAAAGCAAGAGGAGCGCCTATATTTTAATATTTAGTTACATGAAATGCAAGACCAAACAATTAAAAAAAATAGAACAATGGTACACTAAATTCTCAAGGGCCACATTCACTTTAGTTCCGTTCAATTCAATAAAGGTTTATTAAAACATGCCTGACAATAGACTAAATTGTACAAGCTTTTTTTTAGTGCATTCAAAATACAATATTAGTTCAAATTTCAAAAGCATGAAAACAAATCAAACATACAAACAAACAAACACACACAAACACAAACATATACACAAATACAAAATCAAAAAATGCCTTCCTTCATGCTCAGGATCATTAAACAGTGAAACATGTCTATAAAGACCACTCAAGGTGGGAGACAAGAAAAATGGTCTTTATAGGCAGGTGGTGTTTATGTACAGGTTCTTTAAGTAGATATTTCAATGAGAAACCATTTTCAAGGGGAACAAAAAATGTGGTCTTTCATACAGGTTGTCACTAAAGAAGGTTTGACTGTATGTATCTATACTGTGAAGGAATGCTAACATGTTTTCCTTCCATGGTATTAGTTGTTGCAGTGAACACTTACCTGTTAAACTTTTAACCAATGAGTCTAGGACAATTAGGGTGCCATTTTGGGTGTCTTATTGACTAGAAATGAAGTAAAGCTTACATCAGCCAAATTGTCTGTTATATTTGTAAAATATCTCGTGCAATTGGGGTTATCCAGAGAATTAAGCCTCACATAACTCGTAAAAACAATTATCAGTCTTTATTTCTCACTAATTTTGACACAGGTTATTGCTGTACTGCTTGGGGAATTTGCTCAAACTAATCTCCTTAGATTACAAAGAATTCAAAATAAATACATTCAAATGATTTTTAATGAATGTAGATTCATTTAGTTTCTGTCTCTCAAATTTACAACATCCTTAAATGGCAAAGAAGTAAAGGTAAAATATCAATTTTGTGTTCTTGTTTTTAAAACTTTGCATAAACAAGCTCCAAATTATTCAAACCGTCTTGATACTCTACGACCAGTCTTTTATATAAGTCGGTACGCAGTTAACAGTCGTTCGTTTGTCCCACAGACACTCACTGAATATAGGAAAGGTTGCTGTGCCTACTATGATCCTCTGTTGTATAACAAACTCCCACGTTCTGTTCAGTCGTGCACATCACTACAGTTGTCCAAAAAGCAATGCAGTCTTTTTATGCATTTACTGTGACTCTTTTACCTTTTTTGTAAACTCTCAAAAGTGCATTAGGCCTTCTGCTCTCTATTCCTTCTGTAATTATTTTATTCTATTTTATTCATTGTGGGTTTTGGGGTTTTTGTTTTTGTTCTAGGTGTGGTTTTGTTATTGCAATAATTCAGTCTCTTTTTTGTTGTTGATCGATATAATGAATATTTTATGATTCAAATAGTGTTATATTTCACATGTATGTACAATTTTTAATTATTGCATTATTATTCTTATGTTTTTATACCGTTATTGAATTATGCAGGGCTTTCTTGAAAAGCAGATCCCCTGGCTTTCAGTGGAACTGAATGAAACTACCTTGTTAAAAGAAATCATTTATAAATAAATAAATAAATATGGCTGTAATATATCTTGGTACTTAAATACTTAAATTACCACGATACAAAATGATTGATATTTCAAGGTTGTCGTGATTATGACATCTGTATGTTAAAAAAAAACACATTGATTTAAAATTGCTTCCAAACACGTGTCTTCTCTTCATATGTGTGTGTTCAATAGTATGTTTGTTAAGTGTATTTTTATTGATTGATATTCATATATTCTGTCTGTCAAAATATGGTAAAATGTAAACAAATCACCATAATTATGTCAATAAAACTATGCGTAGTACCTGTACATAAAATATATGTAAGTCCTCCACATTTTAGAGAGGAGCCTCGATATAAAGAAACACTATTGTAACAAACTCTTGCTATAAAGTATAAACAAGGTAGTTTGCCAGTCCTACTTCATACATTGTATTTTACTTTTCTGTCATATATTGAGGTAATTGTTTTAATTTTCTTTGGAGTTTGTTTTTACCACATAGCACGAAATTTAGTGACAGCTTGATCATAATATCTATTTGAATGTGTTATAGTATAGTGTTAAGTTACAGTTTTAAAGTTGCATAAAAATGTACATGTCATTGTATTTTATTTGTATTAATTGTATTTTTTTACTTTTGAGTAATAACTTTATTTTTCTTTGGAGTTTGTTTTTACTAAATATAAATTAGAAAGTAATGTTACAGTGTTAAAAGTAGCATATAAAAATGTGCATGTAGTACATTGCTTTTGTTTCTGAAACTAGTGTTTTACATGAATAACATGATGTAATTAAAAATTGCGACATTGCAGATAGGTCATAATTTGTCAAATCAGCTGAAATGAGCTAACTGTTCTTCTTGCTTTGGGGTCCTTACTTATGCCATGATTTCAGAAGAGGAAAACAAATGTGAATATTTGCAAACATTGTTTATAAATGGAATATGAAATGTACAAAAAATGCTATTGATTTGTGTTTAGTTATACCCATTTATATGTAAATAAAATGTTTTGATATGACCTTTATATATTTGTATTGGTTTTATGAAAGTTTATGTCAGTGATCGATGGTACGTTATATATAAGACAGTCAAACCTGTCTATAGCAACTGCCCAAGGGGGACACAAAAAGTGGTCTTTGTAGACTGGTTCCTTTAGTACGTTTCAGTGAGAAACCATTTTCAAGGGAAACAAAAAATGTGGTCTTTGTAGGCAGGTGGTCACTAAAGCAGGTTCGACTGTATTTGACAATGCTATATGCTGCCTGTACTTTATACATGACACTCTGTCTTGTATTTAACGAAAGCAAGAATGGCTCAAGAACCTGTCATGTGCTGCCCCCTTTTTTTCTCACCCCCTATCTTAACCTCTTATCAAAATATGATTCTAAAATAAAACTAGTCAGAAAATAATGATTACTTTTTTAACTATGAATATATTTTTTTAATCTGTTGTCCTGAATATTAAGCCTTAAACATATCTTTTTGTCCATTTTCCAGGAAATATCATAAAAATACAGGAAATAGTCAAAATATATATTCGCATGTGAAGAATGACCTAGTGCTCCTTCTTTTTACATTCCACCCTCTTCAGCACTCTCCTTTTGCTCTTCTCTCTCTCCTTGGTAACATTGTTCAGAAGTGAAGATTACATTGAAAAAATTATATATCGACTGATATCAACGAAATCTATAGCTTTGAAAATCAGAAGTTGTGGACCTAAAAACTAGCTATCGATTTGATGACATCTTATGTAGAGTATGCATTTTCGTGATGACTTTGCAATTATTAAGCACGGCTCATCACTTCGGCTATATGATCTGTCGTCGCCATAGCTCTGCCAAAATCAACCCCCATTGACCTGTAATTTGAAGGGGTGCGTAAAATGAGGTTTTAATTTGCTCTTGTGCAATACTGAAAGGGAAATATAACGTCTGTTCTCTCCCATCCTTCGTAAGAAGTAGCTTTATAGAGTTTAAGGCATGTAGTAGTGTCCCTCGTCTTCGAGAGAAAATGTATTCATTCACATGTCTGTATATGTGTATATGGCGTGTTTGTAATATGGTGGTATCGTATAAGAGCATTTTAATTTTTCATCAGAACACACAAGTCTAGCATGACACACACTCAATAAGATAAAAAAATGCACACAGAATGACAGCATTACAACTCGTTCAAGATATAGTGTTGATAGTTTTGATTTTATTGACTACTGCGGCAAAATGCATAATTGTCATGACCCAGAATCTATTTGATGTACTGTACAACTTAGACCCTGATATATCTGTTTAGTTGAGCAGTGAGGAAATATCACTCTTCTTAATTAAATCTTTTTCTACAAATTTTTCATTCAACAGATCCTATTTACATGTACATGTAATATACCCAACAGCAATACTTTACATAAAAAATCCGTTCATTTACACTCGTCTGGACTGAAATAAATCCTTCTCTCTCTCTCTCCGTTGTCTCTCTCTTGAACTGAATACCCAGAAAACTAGAATATTTATTCATTCATTCCTGTAAAACTTTTTGATAACAGATGAGCCCATGCAATGACCAATAGAGTCTGAAATTGCCTCCTCATAGCCTTTCTCGCTTTCAAATAATCCCATACAGCTTTTACTTTCATAGCGTAAGCAACAACCTTCCATGACATGTACATGAAAATATGAGCTAAATTTTGTGCCTTCCACCAGTAGCCCTAGGTTCAATCCCATTTGACATAAGTAAAGCATAAATTGTTCCCAAATTGGTCGCAATTAACTTTTATGGGGAAAAGGTCTTGTCCGTGTGACCGAGGTATGGGCACTGATTTTTCTTGGATCGGTAGTATCATAACTTCCAATGCATTTCCATATCTTAAAAAGACCAATTTGGGAACAATTTACATTAATCATCATCTGTCAAAAGGGAATGGCCCTTTCATAGCTACATTGGAATTGTACTAACCTGCACTTCCAAATCGATACTGGGAACCTTGATTTACCCGTTTTACTATTTAATACACCATGTTATGTAGATCCCTGCCCAATTGCCCCAATACTAATATCATTGCAGCCATGCTCACTGCTGGAATTAACCTTTTAATATATTTGTGCAATATCTTTTTTTTTTTAATATTCAGTTTGAAAGCACTGATATTTATCACAAAAAGCACTGATTGAAAACCATTCACAAAATCAATATGTAACAAGATCTATGTGCAGATTGAATTTAGATACCAATTACAAATAATTTCATCTTTACATGTGTTATCTGTTTGTAAATATTAAAGTATAATTGATATTGAAATGTTGGCTTATGTACGAAAAGGAAATATGTGAGACAAAAAGAATAAAAGTACTTTTTTATATAAAACTCGATTTTATGCTTTTATCGAGTAATGACCGAGAGAAATTCCATAAATTTTCCAGTGCAAACTACAGACCTCTATCTATAGACACATAATAATTAATCAGATTTATTTACAACTTTTAATACCCACAGACACAACGGTAGCACTATAGCTTTGTGTTGTCAACCAAATGTACACAATGAGATACTTAGTCATTCATATTCACAATATAAACACATAGAAAATTGCATGTGCATAATTAAATGGTAGCACTTTATCATGTGTTCCTCCCTTTATTCCCCGCTAAAAAGCCCAAACGAAACCATTTATGATGTCCAATTTCAGAGATGATTGTATATAAGCAATATGAACCAAATATCTTCTCTACGTTATTGATTTAAAAGCATAAAAAAACAGCGAAGAAGGAGTGAAAGTAATTTGAATATTTTGACCAACAATCACTATTTTTCATTTACTAACCTCAATGTTTATAATCTTCTACCCCCTTAAAAGTGATTGATTGATTGAATAATTATGCCTCAAAACTATATGAGACAACTGTTGTATGCCAAAATGAGATATCACAGCCATAGTACTCGCTGTGATACAAAAAATGCTGATTCAAGTTAGATAATAATGAACTTCTGTGGTGGGATATTGATGAAACAAGTAATATGCAACACTCGGTGTAAACACAACTGCGTTCGATCAATTACGATTGTCGGTGAAAAAGAACAAACCTCACAACATTGATGAAACGTTAAAACTGAACGTGAAAACCAAGTGAAGATATAACTCCCTTATTTAATTTACAACATCTGTCTTTTATACACACGTAAATGGCTAAGATAAACGGAAAAAAATCACATCCATACAAATATTTGTACACAAGTATAATATTTACTGCAACATCTTTTTATAATACTTTCAGTCATTTTTCTATCCCTTATAGATTCTTTTAGAAGCCAGTACAATAATGCTCTATGGCTGAGTTGAAAACCAACGCAATAATAAGAACAAGAAAACAAAATTGAACACACAAGTGCCAACACATCAATGAAGCAGTGAAAAATTTGGACTAAATCTAGTTTTCCCAGAATTACAGATGAGGCTTTCTGCCGCTAAAATTCAACGCTACATATAACTTTTAAGATTTTAGGATTTATATACATGGTTTTATGTTTGAGGATAGCTCTATTTTCAAAGTAAGTCACAAAAATACTGGTTCCTATTAATATTACAAGAATGGAGGAAAAACATGGAATATCAAATGAATGGTAGAAATAAATATCATTTTCTATTTTTAAAAGAAGTTATTTCTTTCATGATTATGAATCTTAATAAGGAAGAGGATTCACTGTCCTGATATGAGGTATAAAGAGCATAAACTTAGTTTTGAGAATTTAAATCATGATAAGAAATCCAGCAAATAAACGTGTCCACTGAAATCTTCCTAATCTACTATGCGTTTTTGAGAACACCTAATCTCTACCGCAAGGAGCCATAATCATTATTGCGTTTATCTTTTTCTTTAAATAACTACACCATCCAACGCTACGTATTATAATTATTTTCTCACAATACCATAAAAATGCTACTTTTTTCATCTTATGTAGTACAGCATAAATTACAAGATAATGATACGATATAGTCATACATTTTTTTTGTCTTCTCAAAAAATACATTAATATATAATCGGTCAAAAATCAATTTACAACTTTTAAAAAATCGCCAACGAATCTCGAGTTGCGGCATTTGAAATGGTAGTTTTTGGAGAGGTACGGTAAGATGAGAGGGCAGTTTGAATTGTCTGTCATACATCGGCTTGCTCGATGGTAAAACATGGAGAGCATCTGTTACACAACCAAATATGAGGTGACGTCTATGGTCCATACATAGGTAGAGCAGGAAAATATGTGTATTTCAATCTAACTTTCTAGTTGGCTTCCTTATGTAACGTAATGAGGTATTCAGAAAAAATCTCCACCGACGTTCAACACCTCACACATTTTCTAAATTGATTAATCACCAAAACGAATGTTTGTGCTTGAATTTACTCATAATCATCGCTAAATTCATATCCAATTCAGCCTTTGATGTGTCACAGATTAGGTCCTAAAATAACAATACTTTTAAAACAGATTCAAAACAAACTTGGTCTTTAAACGACCAAATATTCATACACAATCTTTAAACAAATGAGCATAAAAACCACACAAACTTTTCACAATAGCTATCGATTTGCACGATTACAGACCATTAAAACATGAAGTGAAAATTAAAGATCTTTGTCGAAAAAAATCAACCACTCTTTGTACAATATAATAATGCTTTGAATTTAGGAGGAGAAAGATATGATTGCAAAGTTTAAACAAGATGAAAATCAGCAAAAAAACAAAATGGAGGAGCTTAAAGATAACGGGGGAGAAAAAAAGAGGAAAATGAGGTTGAGAGAGGCGAGGATTGACTGAGCGAGAGAAGGAGGGATTTTACAAGGGAATACGATGGGATCGTTCTCAGAATTTCATCGTTGAATCGTCCCACTCTAAGGGCGTCCCTTTGATTTCGACGCAAACTTCTTCTTCCTCTTCTTCTGAACTTGAACTCTCGTCCTCCAGACTATCCTCATCGTCGTCTTCGCTCGACTCGTCCGTTTCTCCTGTGGCGATCGGCTGCAGAGGGGGAGGAGAGAAGATTGGGAATGAAAGCTTTGCTTTTCTTGTAATGAATAGAGCATCAACAAGCATATATTGTAAAGTCCTAGAAGAATAATAATAATATTTCTTATATAGCGCTTAATACATCTACGATGTCTCTAAGCGCTTTATAGATATACAATTATTATCCTGGTCATTGGATTCAATACTTGAACCAGAATCTGTCCATTTAAAGCAACCAACATTGATGAACTTCAAGAGTAAAATCATTAAATATAGTTTCATTGATGAACCGAGTATAAGATATCTTCCATGGATATAACCTTCACAAAAAATGAAGAATCTAGTACCTCTAGTTGACCTATATTACAGATGAGGGGATATGGCAAAAAGCATTCAGAAAATCAAGATAAAAACTATCAAAAGTAAAAAATTGGGTTGGGGTAGGTTACTGACTGTAAAGCAATCGTCACCAGAATATGTCAAGGGTTCAGACACAAAGACGTAACTCCATATTTTGCCAAAATGTTCAGGAAAATGTGGGCTTTCCAGGAAATACAAAGACTTAACTCCACCCAACACCCCACTGAAGTCAATGGCTACTGAAACATAGACGTAACTTCTTAAACCACTTTTTCTCAAAATGGCCAAAATGAAGCTACGTCTTTGTGTCACTGACCCCTCGATGTGTCCTACCACTATCTCTGTCTGTGACTTACCCCTTCCATAGGATTGACCGTGATGTTGAGGGCCGAATCATCCCAGTCCATGTCCTGTCCATCGAAGGCTCTATTGGCCTTGTGAGCGGAGTAGATACGGAACACGCCCAGGACGATCATGAAGAGGAGGAACCCAACGCAAAGAACCACCACAATGGCCATTGCTGTACCTGTAAGTAGACGTAGATGGAGCGAGAATGATTTACGAGATTCTCTGGAGGTTTATATAGTTGGTGTAGGGTCTGGTGAAGCTAGCAGAACAGCAATTGAAAGCCGACGGCTACTGTTTTCCAGATTGTGTAAAAAGATCTGATTCCAAAAAATTGGCACAGTGCACAGGTATTTAATCATTTTGCACCACATATGTGAACAAACATCACAGAGTAACGATAAAATTTCTTTTATTTGTGGTCTCATCGACCTGACATGATCATCGGGTATACTCTCTTCATGGATGCAGTCGTTACCATATGAAATAAAGTACCAACAACATTTAACATACGTAACCCGATTTTTGACCAACCAGAGCCAATAACCTAGTTTCAGGTGAATGCTATAAATGTAGGTCATCATGAAGCACTTGGGGGAAAGAAGCCAGGATGAAATTGAATTAATTTGTGTACTGGGCTTTACCAGATTAGAGCTCTGGGAGGAAATCAAGGTTTATCTTGAATGTTAAAACAATACCACAATTTTGGTAGATCAAACTTAGCCCTTATGAAGATGAAAAGGGTTTAGCAGAATTGACTAGACTCACTTGATACTGCGTTCTTGGATGTGATATGCTTGGGGGAGTTCTCCTTGAGTTTATCATGCACTCTAACGTTGCTATGACTGAACATTACAGACTGTTTGACGTGACTGGGTTTGTTGAGGGCACGCATCGCCTGATGAAGTACTCCAATCTGGACAGAATGAAAAAGAGAAGAGGAAATTGATTAACCATATTGCAACACAACCTCAAAATAAAACTGTCCGTACAATTTATCTATCTTATGAAATAGTCTTGTTCGGGATAATGTTTTTTGTGGAGAACCAGTAAGGTTGTAATATTGACATTTCATATAAAAAATTAAAACAAACAAAGGGAAACGGATAATACTCTATATATTAATCACCTTTTTTGTTTAAGCTACACTATTTTACTCTCTTGTGGCTACATTAAAAATAAAAAAATAATAAAATTCCCTTTTCTTTTTTTTAACTATTGTTGCAAATCAAATTTAAACTAAAAACTGCATTAAAATGATCAGAACAAATTGAAAAAAAATTTGCTGATATTTCAGTGGACCCCAATTTAAGCCAGTACCTTTCTGTTTTTTGGCACACAATATGTTTCTTTCCCTAATTATCTACATACATTGGTCACTAAAACGGTCAATTATTACAATAAAAAATATAACTGTCCTCGGATGTATCACTACTGAAAGGAATTAAAATTTGGTCTGTAGTCAGGAAACACGATTCCCATTCTCAATACTAATTTAAAATCAAGTAAAAACAGACATAATAAATATAATAATAATCATGATAAAGTAACATATTGAATATCAATTTTCATATTTGCCTAGACAATGAGCTACTATCACCACCCCGCTTATACTTTTCAAATAAGGATTAAATGATTTAATGACGTACTCTGACATCGAAGTCATTGCTGACAAATCTTCCATTGAGCTCAGAGCAGTGCAGGGTGAGACGACGATCTTGGTTCTTACCGGACGCCACCTGGGAGTAGGAGATCTGCCTCAAGACGTTCTGGTAATCTTTCAATGTGGCAAGTCCTGTAACGAAGCGAAGAGAACAAAAGAACATTATTTCCAATTCTATACAACAAGGGTTCAGTGACACAAAGACGTAACTCCATATTTTGCAAAATGAGTATTTGATATAAAAATGTTCAGAAAAATGTGGGCTTTCCAGGAAACACAAAGACTTAACTCCACCCAAGACCCCATTGAAGTCAATGACTAGTGAAACATAGACCTAACTCCTTCAGGCCCAAGTGGACCTCTATCTTTAAACCACTTTTTCTCAAAATGGCCAAAATAGAGAGTTACATCTTTGTGTCACTGACCCCTCGACATTTTAATTAAGCCTATTCTGAAGTATGAAACCACATTGCTATAGCAACCACCTGTACAGAAAGACTACCTGTCTATAAAGACCACAATTTTTGTTCATCTAAAAATCTTGTCTGTCCTGAGTACAAGTTCCTGGTGAGGCCTCTTTCCTTCCAGTCGACTTCTGGATGTCTCAACACATCCAGTGGCTTATCCCAGTTTAACCCTGTTAATTTAGTCCATAAATCATACATCTAATTATTTATGTACTTCTAGACTCGTACGCAAAGAGTTCTTATAACCCAGTGTCCATTATTAAACAATCATAGCTTTATTTTTTCTTCTGCTATTCCAAGCCATGTCAAGAATCAAAGTAGTTTTAACACCATATTCAAATGTTGAATATAAGTTTTACATGAAATGCAATTAAAGTTGAGCAAAATCCTATCCATGACTATCAACTAATCACTTCAAAATATCTTAGGTGGCAAGCACTTTGCTCCACGTCTACACCTAACAGAGGCCTTGGTCAGAATGATTTGTATTGACCTTGACAGTGACTATGGCATTTTTTTTTTGACACAGGAAGCAATTTGTCTCCGACCTCTCCCCTCCCAAAAATACCCCTCCAAGGTGCCTCCTGCCCACGCAGACGTTCCTGTTTCCTCTCGCCCTTGCAGCGTGGACGCGAGAGTTCCAACAAGGCAGGGTGTTTATGGTCTAGAGAATAAGTGGCTTGAAAGACAAGTGTTGCATGTACTTTTTATGTTTTTTTTTGTTTGGAGAGAAGCAAGATAAGAACATTATCATTAGCTCTGGAAGTTTTTTTTTCTTCTTACCTTTGATGACAATTCCATTCTCAGAGTTGACCACGGTCAGGCCGTGCTGTGTCAGGATATCCTCGGCAATGGTCAGTGTCTCTCCGTCCACAAGCCTGCCCTGCTTGACCAGTGCACTGCAGGAGTCCAGATTGTGGGTGATGAGGGCTGGGGTATCACCACCGGTCACTTCTTGTTGATCTGGAGAGAGGAAAGAAAAATAAATTACACATCTTGACAAATCATACCAAAGTTTTTTCCTTTGAAGACAAGGGAAATGAAAAACCGTTGGCATCTATGAAAATATTTTGTAAAAGTTATTTCAAAAGGCATAAAATGTTGATTCAAATCATTCATATTTTCTATTGTCAAGGAGATTTCATTTTCTTGATGTGGAAGTTATAAAAAGTCTTAAATATTTGAATTTTGCTTTTGAATACATTTTAAGGCTACAAATGGCTTTCCATAATGTTTAAGTTCAACTTAGAGTAAAGTTCGACTTAGGATCTTTGTGAAACACCCCCAAGGACAACTAGATATAGAGTAAATCATGATTCTGTGCACTATACACAATAGAGCACATATTGCTACATAGAACATTGATATTAGGAAAAAGCCTTGTCCAAAGTAATTGACAAGATATATATTCCAACAATTCCTCTTCGAGAAATGCAAACTTTCTTCTGCTGAAAAACTAATTCCATGAATAGTTCAAACTTTTGCCTTATGCATTAATATTTTATTTTGCCTCGTAGGTTAGATCAAATTGCGCTTTTAATTTTGATCACTCAGAACTCACTTCACCTTATCATGAAGCACCTCATATGAAGCGAGTATTATGCAATTTTTATGCATTTTGGGGTTGTAGTTGCAAAGTAAAGCGGTATAAACACAAACACTATACAGGAAGCCGAGTCTAAAATATCATTAGTGGAGCCTGAATAAGGAAATTTTATTTTCAATTCTTTGTTTAAATGATAATGTCCTTTAAAGCGGGATTGCACTACTTGTAGCTATTTTCGGCCTCTATATAGCAAACAATGCCTGAGCAGTACCTGTTGGTCCCCCATGATCCCCTTTTTCTTATTTTAATTGAGAGCTGATTTGATGAGATAACCACCTGTCAGTGACCACCCAGGGAAGTCTAATCCCCCCTGGCCAAACTAGTGCAGATGGGATTTAAAGGCCATCTGTACTAGTGTATAGGAGGGATTGGACCACCCTGCAAGGTCACTGGACAGGTGGTTTTCTCATCAACTTATAATGTAGTTCTCAATTAACATGAGCAAAAGAGGATCATGGGGGACCAGCGGTCACCAAATAGGCATTGTTTGCTATATAGAGGGCACAAGTAGCTATAAGTAGTGCAGTGGGGCTTTAAAGGAAACAAAAGTTGAAGGGTATGTATGTTCGACCGACCTGCACCAAGCTCCTCCTCTTCTTGCTCTGTCATGATGCTGACGATGGTGATGGTCTTGAAGGGCGCGATGCCTGCCACTAGGTTAGCTACGGTCTGAGAGGTTGCCTGGGAGCCGGTGATGCTGATGGTAGGTTCGTGGGGGTGGAGGACCATCACGTAAGAAGAGACGTCCGGGATGACGATCTCCACTCCATTGCAGCTGTAAGAGAGGTGGGATGGATGGAGAAGGATAATAATAATAATAATAATAGCTAGTTCTTATATAGCGCTTTTCAGGACCGAAGGCCCTCTCAAAGCGCTTTACAGATATATATATTATTACCCCGGTCATAGGATTCAGGCTTACCCGCACACAATGTAATCACAATATTCTGCTTTTACATGTATATAGCGCCCAATACATCGATACAACAGTGTAAGCACTTTACAGATATATTATTACCACTGTCATAGGATGCAGGCTTACCCGCACACGATGTATACACATTCTCCACTCCCATTCCAGCCAGTCCCCATTTTACGAGCACACACTTGCTCATCCAACCAAATTAACTTTCGCATCCTATGGGGTACCCATTTAACACCTGGTTGGAGAGTGGCAAATGTAGATTAACGTCTTGCCAAAGGACATGCTGCGGCGGGACTCAAACTCTGTACCTTGTGATCTGCAGTCGGGTGACTTATCCACTAGACCACAACACCTCTTTCCTTATCATTGATAGTTCACACAGTGAAGAATGGTCATACTTGGCTTAGCGTATGGGTGGAGATGAAACAGATTTTACTATCCTTAAACTTATCATCACCATCATCACCATCACACCTAATAATATCATTGCTATCATCATCATCATCATCAAAACCATCACCATCTCCATCATCATCATCACAATAGTTACTACTAAACCAGCACCAGCATCATCACCACCAGTACTCCTATGTTGGACCATCAGCATTACAAAAAACATCACTCCAAATACACTTCCCCATCTTCATTATCATCAACTACTACAGTCAAACGTGTCTATAGCGACCACTCAAGGGAAACACAAAAAGTGGTCTTTATAGGCACATGGTCTTCATGCACAGGTGGTCTATCTATACAGGTGGTTGCAAAAGCAGGTTTCACTGTACAACTACCACATTCATCACCATACCACAAATACCACCTGAATATAATCATCCTCACTTTCTGTCCCTTGTCCCTATAAAAACTAGATGGAATTTTGACTGCGTGCAGTCGAAAATGATGCCTCCGCCATAGAGCAATTTAAACAAGTTTGGAGTTTAAATCTCCAGTGGTTCTTGAGATATCATGATAACAATCTCAATGTATGGAATTTCATAAGTTGACCTCTGTGACCCTTGACCTTTGACCTACGTGCTCCAAAATCTAATCAGATTGTCTTCCTATGGTGATACACACTATCATTAAGTTTGAAGTTTAAATCTCCAGTGGTTCTTGAGATATTATGATATGGTGATACATACTATCATTAAGTTTGAAGTGAAAATTCTCCAGTGGTTCTTGAGATATCGCGATAACGATCTCAATGTATGGAATTTCATAAGTTGACCTCTGTGACCCTTGACCTTTGACCAACGTGCTCCAAAATCTAATCAGATTGTCTTCCTATGGTGATACATACTATCCTTAAGTTTGAAGTTTAAATCTCCAGTGGTTCTTGAGATATTATGATAACAATCTCAATGTATGGAATTTCATAAGTTGACCTCTGTGACCCTTGACCTTTGACCAACGTGCTCCAAAATCTAATCAGATCGTCTTCCTATGGTGATACATACTATCCTTAAGTTTGAAGTTTTTACATCTCCAGTGGTTCTTGAGATATCATGATAACAATCTCAATGTATGGAATTTCATAAGTTGACCTCTATGACCCTTGACCTTTGACCTACGTGCTCCAAAATGTAATCAGATTGTTTTCCTATAGTGATACACACTATCACTAAGTTTGAAGTTTAAATCTCCAGTGGTTCTTGAGATATCATGATAACAATCTCAATGTATGGAATTTCATAAGTTGACCTCTGTGACCCTTGACCTTTGACATACGTGCTCCAAAATCTAATCAGATCGTCTTCCTATGGTGATACATACTATCCTTAAGTTTGAAGTTTAAATCTCAAATGGTTCTTGAGATATCGCGCTAACAAACTCAATACAAGGAATTTCATAAGTTGACCTCTGTGACCTGTGACCTTTGACCTACGTACTCCAAAATCTAATCAGATCGTCTTCCTATGGTGATAAATACTATTCCCGAGTCTTAAGTTTAAATCTTAAATGGTTCTTGAGATATTGTGATAACGGTCAAACGGGACGGACGTACGGACGTACGGACGGACAACCCGAAAACATGATGCCTCCGGCACCACCTTCGGTGGCGGAGGCATAAAAAGAGATAGCTTCATGACTGAACCTACCTAGCTTTTGTAGAGATGGTAAGAGTATAAACTACTACCACTACCACATTCATCACTATCATCACAAATACCACCTGAATATATTCATCTTCACTATATGTCCCTTGTCCCTATCCAGAACAGATACATTTATGACTGAACCTACCTGGCTTTGGTAGAGATGGTAAGGGGGCGTCGACCCTGAGTGGGGAAGGTCCTTTCATTGATGTAGCCGACCTGCTGTAGCACGCTGGAAAACTGCTCCGTCAGTTCACCCTAGGTGAGAGAAAAAAAAGAAAAACAAAGTTATTATTATTTTATAATATAATGTAATGTACCACAAGGCAATAATCATCATTATTACTAGTATGACCAATAGGCGTTAAAAAAAAGATATTGTATTGCCCTTTGCTGCAGACTCCAAAATCTTGAAATCTACAGTCGGCTTTTTAATTTTATTATTTTTTTAAACTGTGTTTTTAGGAAAAAAAATGGATTAAAGCATTCAAAAATGAGAAATATCAGCCCAAAGAGGGAGTAAAAAAGACAAGAAAAGATTTCCGACCGACCAACCCATGTTTTGGCACCTAAAGGGCAATACAACATTTGTTTTTAGGCCTTATTGTTATTCTATAATATAATGAACTATAAGGCAATAATAATTATAATTACTAGTATTACCACTATTATGATTATTACAAGAAGGGACATAAGATCTCTTTTCTCATGCAATACAAACAAACCGCATAAATCATTCATAACAATGGGCAAACAAAATCCATATTCACAGAAAATCCTCTCCGGGCAGAATTGCTTTAAAACAACCACTTTTGTCATTAATGAAGTTCTTTTTATCTTCTGAAGACAGTGAAAGTAAGTCGTTCTTGAAATGATCTCAATGAATATCTGACAAAAAAGTCTCTCATTAATCAAAGAAACTAATCAACAAAGTATCTTCCCAGTATATTGTTGACAAATGGAGAATCTTCTGAAGATGGTGAAAATATTCTTGAAATGAACCAATTATGCATCTCAATCAAAGACACAATGAACATTTGACAAAGGAGTCTCTCTTTAATCAAACAAACTAATCAACAGAGTATCTTCCCAGTATTATTGTTCACAAAGGGAGAATCAAGTGGAACAAACTTGCTTGATTAATTGGTGTTTTTTCAATGGTACTGTATCGCCCCTATAGAATGAGTTGGGATGCATTGTTCTCAATATAAGAATCTGCTACGTGTATTCCTATTATCATCTCACACGATTCATTAGTGTATGCATTTTTTGTCCGTTGCTAATATACACTATATCATAATATGAGAATCACGTTATTTGTTTTGTTTTGTTTTGATATTCTTGAACTATTTATCCTCTCAATTAAGTTTGTTTAGTTCCAAATTCAGACATATCCAAACTTCCAGAGACAGTAGAGTTGCATTTAATCGCTTTGTTACAAATTGGATATTCCCAATTGACAATCTCCTCCTCCATGTTTTTCTTATGAACCATCACATTCTAGTTTTCAGGGGAGGGTTTCACAAAGCCATCATAAGCCTCAGTTTGCGGACATCCCACTGAAACATGTGATCATCTTTAATCTTTAATTTTTAATGACATTTTTTTTAATGGAATGTTCACAAACTTTGACCAATGACTGTTTTGTCCGACATTGACAAGATCATATTGAGACTTACGGAAAGAGTAAGGTTGGTGCGGGCAGTGTTGATGCGAGCCACGCTGACCGGCAGGTTACCGACGTTGAAGGAGAGACCCTCCTTGCATCTGACCATGCAGCTGACCACCTCTGGGGTCTCGATCTGACCGGGCAGGACGCTAAGACCGGCTAGGTAGCCCTGGAAATAGTTGGCAAACTTGTCCTGGGCTCCTGCAGGGAGAAAAGATAATGTACTGGTTAGACATACACCTTCTTAATCCTAAGATTATTTACAACTTGATTACAAGTATGCAGCTAAAGTTCTTGTTTTCACCACAACGTAGTTTTACCGCGAATGCAGTCGCAGGATCCAGCTGACGATGCCATCATCAACTTGACGCACGCGCAGAAGATCTCAGTGCCAGTTTCACGTCAAGTTCATGTCGGTTGAAAGCTCTCTAGGTATGATGAAGGGGAAAATCCTCAGATACATTATCAAACACCACTCAAAAACTTAACTTTGACCAAGACAATAACTTCAAGGATGCTTATTGATACATACCCTTAAAGCATGCTCCTACAGTTGTAGATGTAGGAGTGGTGGTGTGGTGGAGAGGCCAATCCTCGGAGACTCTCGGACCGATCTGAGCTTCTCCGTCAATGAACAAGGAGGCCTGAATGGTAAAACAGGAAGAAAATGTTAAACAGTTTATGTGTAACACGGGTATTTAAACAGTCCTTACTAAAATCTGTTTTCACCTATTCTCCATCTTCATTGTCTTGTTTTTCATGCTTACTTTACACAGAATGAAAGTGAGGTGGTAATTAAAGAAGTGTGAAAATGTGATAATAGAGAGTCACTTACAATGTGACTTCTATCACAGTATTCATAACATATCATCCCTATCATATCATCACATTTTCAGGACTGCTCAATCTTCCCTCTCTCTCACATGCTGCACCCGCAAGCCTACTGTATATCATCACTAGTATCAACATCACCACTAGTATCATTAATCTTCATTCTTGAATCAACCCCTATTCTTCCTCCTCTTCATCATCATCAACTCACCATCATCCCGTTCATCATCACCATCATCACTATAATCATCATCATCATTACCATCAACATCATTATCCTTACCATCATTACCATCATCGTCATCACCATCATCACCATTCATCATTATTATCATCAACACCACCATCACTATTTTCAAAAGCATCAGCTTCCATCGGTACATGGAGGGGGAGAAACCTAACCCCTGACACGAGACAAACATCATCCACCCTAACCCCTAACCCTTGACTAAAGCATACAACAAACCAACGTTTTACACACCTGTAGTTCCTCTACGTTGATGGTGTAGCGATGCCACTCCTGGTCGCACACCTGCCTCAGCTTCCACCGGTACATGGAGGGGTAGAAACCATCACCCGTCTCCTGACGCGAGACGAACACCAGCCGGCAGTTGTGGACGTACAGGCCGTAGTGATGGCGGTTCATTTCTGTATGGTCAAGGTGGGTGGAAGAAAAAAAACGCATTGATGAACAAAGGGTAAACGTTTTACTTCGACATAAAATTCAACTACCTAATTCTTTTATCTTTAGATGTCTTGTAATTCATGTGACTGGGTACTGGGTTATGAAGGCTATTCAAGGAAAGCTCCAGTAGTAGCTTTACATCGTATTTTTCAAAAGATATAGGTATTAATCCTCATTATTAAGTCTATTGCAGAGGACTTAAAGCTGTGAGTCTCCTGGTTGCTTATTTACAAGCACACACATGCTTTCTTAGCAGTCGGGTAAAACAAACCATGTACATGTTCCTATAGTCTTTTTTATGAGGATTTAATGAGTATGACTGTTCAGGCAAAACAAAACTTTTTTTTTTTTTTTTATAGACAGGTGGTCTTTCAACACAGGTGGCTTCTAAAACAGGCTTCACTATATAAAAGAGGACATACCTCCCTATAACCCTTAAAATGCCTTTAGTTGGCAAAGTTTTCCTTTTTGTGTGTGTGGGTGGGGAAGGGGAGCACTTCTACCAAATATATGGTCTAACCTACATCTCCATGAACCTAGCTAAAACTGATGAAAAAAACTTTTATTTCTCAGGTTGTCAAATTGGTGTCTTTCATTCTCTTCACTTTTTTCAGCACCAATTCCATTTTTCACAACTTTCTCTTGCCTCGCACCTGATCGTAAACGCGGGATTGTAATGAAGATCTCAGCGTTTAAAACAGACAGACCATTCATCAACCATGAAATGAATCTCTTTAACCATGACATTGGCTAATTGGGCCTAAGGGTCAATTTTACAGACTGGTGGTTCCGTTTTCCTCTGCACCAACATCTTTTCCTCTAGGGTATGATCTGAAAATACTCGTACCATAACTAAATTGCAGATATTTGCTTGCCTCAATTTCAGAATAAGAATAATGCTTTTGATAGAGCAGAACAGCAAGTTCATATTCTGCAGCTGAGAATTGGAAATCTAAAACATCTTGTTGAGATTAAAATGTATGACATGTCAAATTTAGGTTAGGTTCACTATTTTGATAATATGAACTATACATCCGAAGTCAGCCATGATATCACAATGACATAAATAAATATAGAAATATGAGAGCAAATATTTAGAAAGTTTAAGTACGCTAATCTTGAAATGGAGATCATTAAACTAACTGGCAAGTGCTACTTTCCAATGTGAGGTGGTTTTCTCAATTTTCATTTGTACAGAAGATTTTAAAAACTTTTTAAAAACAATATTCTCCAATGAAATGTTTAAAGCAAACTTCTGGCTGAATTGGAACATGCTCTTAAAGCCTGTCTGCACTAGTTTGGCCAGGGGGATTAGACCTCCTGCAAGGTCACTGACAGGTGGTTATAACTCAGCTCTCAATTAACATACGAAAAAGGACCACTGGGGACCAATGGGCACCGATTAGGCATTGTTTGCTATTAAGGGCGCAAGTTGCTATAACTAGTGCAGTGGGGCTTTAAAGAAATCATATGGGTCACCCTCTGTAGTGATCTTGAAACTTAAGAAAAAATGTATATACATACACTTATATGCACATCAATTATCCAGACTAATTTAAAAAATAAACTGTTCATAAGTTTTTTTTAAAAATTCCAATCGACATATTCCCTTTAAATTTTCCATATCGCCTAGCCCCACATAGGACAAACCGGAGGTCCCCTTCCCCTTAACCATCTTAAACCTAAGCCTGTCTTGGATAACTCATTTAACACCGTGGGCTGCTGTTGTGCAAATCAAGTAACATAACTTGTCAACACTTCCTTCCGCGGAAGGGAACTTTAAAATTGCGCTCAAGGCCCTAGCCCCACAGACAAGGAACGCTGTAAAGATGAACATTATTGATGCCACGGTCCGTGGGCAGTTGGCTGGATTATGCGGATGACCACTAGTATAGATAGCGATTAAATCGTTGAGCTCTCTGGCCTTACTGGTCTTTTAATTCCATAGAGATTTTGCAATAGATTTTGTAACTACTGTGAAGTTTACATCGTAGGGGAAGTCAGGGGAAAGGTTTGTTTCTGCTAGCAGCTGTCAGCCCTTGACAGGAAAATATATGATATCTCGATTCTCTCAAGGAATTTGTAGCCATGGTTGAGAGTTTGAAATAATTCAGACAATTAATGATCTTAATTGATCTCTAATTGTTCATCAATGTGGACAATTGTATCAGTATTACTAGTTTGGAATATTAATTGCTATCACAAACGAATTAGATTATTGATAACTGTATCTATGTAGTTATCTTTACTGTGGACAGTGGTTCAAAGTTGTGATATATCTAATACTATCTTCTCCACGTGATCCCATGACCACCCAATCATTGATAAGTTATCTATCATCACATGAGTATTACAGCTATTTATAATGACAATACAGAAGTCGTTAAGGCATTGATAAAGACAGCAGTCATTAAATCAATTAAAGAGTACCGGTAATCGCCATAAACATAAGGCAGAACAAATCCTAATTAAATCATACAAACTTGTTAGTTATCTTAGAAATGCAACGTCATCAAATTAATTTGACCTCCTTGTCATACTAATATCCTCTGTCAAAACTTCAGTAATGTAGAAGGTCTTATCAGGGACCCGTTTCACAAAGCCTTCTTTCAGTGACAAATCTGCTGATAACCAATCAGAAGCAAGGGTTTCAGTAGCTTATAACAAGAATTGTCATTTGTCACTGATGACAAGTTTTGTGAAACACCCCCCAGATGTACAGAAAACTACTGGGAAGGATAGACGTACAAGGGAAAAGCAGAAAACAGGTTGTATTAAACTGGTAGATAGAGGAGGTAGATAGGAACATGAGGAAATTAAAGATGACCATGAAATAGGGAAGGAATATGATGACAAGGAGAAACAGAAAACCCTCTTCATAAATCTATATATATAAATATTTCTCAGTAAGTAAAGTTCAAAAACCAAAAAATATTGAGAGCACAAACAGTGGAATCTGAAAACTCTGCAAAACAAGATCACTCAATTTCCTGGTGCACTGCCAATAAATTAAACGACAAAGGCCTGTTCAATGTTTTTTGTTGTTGCCTTTTGTAATTAGTGATTACATAGTCAAAGGCTACAGGACTTTTACTATCAATAGACCTGTTATCAATACCGGTAGTTATAAATCTATCATTCACAGATAGCTAAAATTTACTGCACATATCAAAAACCCAAACAACATTTCCTTCGTTTTGATGTTTTCTTCAACATAAAATAAAGTACCCAATTAGCATTCCTCTTGTATAAATTTTAATAATTTTCTAACTATTTTGTAAGACTTGGGTACACCCTTCAAACAAATTAAACAAGCATTTTTTGTTGGCATACATATTGAGTTAACACTGAATGGCTAAAACAGGCGTACCTTCAAAGTTTCAAGCATCTTTAAATATTTTGTTCATCGATGTCTATACATGTAATTCATTCTCGTTTGTACCAACAATTCCATTTGTGTGTGTTATTTTCTTTTAACTTTGGCAAAATAAAATTGAATTGGTAAAAATCTAACCATTTCCTTTAAATTCAAATATCAGGCTCCTCTTGATATAAAACACGCTTCTCTCGTCACAGTACTTATAGGGTTCTGATATCAATATCACTGATGGTCCCAGGCAATAAAAGCAATCCATTTCACCCTTTTTTTGTGGGCTCCTACCTATCACCAAGGATGATTTTTGAGAGAGGGGGGAAGTTTCTTACTTTCTTTACCCCTCTCCAATCTCCATGGTGATCGGAAAGCCCCCTTCCTGCTGGGGATTTACGGTCAGGGGGGCAAGCGAACGGATAAGGGGTCAAATTGTGATTGGGGTGTTGCTGGGTTCCTGATGTGCAGGAAGTATGCTAGAGGGTCGATAACTGAAATCAATAGCAATTAAATTGTATGATTTGTATTTAATCAAGCTGTCTCTTTCAATTCTTATAATAGTTTTTACTTTGACAAGTAATGCTATAAAGAGGAGTGATGTTTAGAGAAGTAATTTCATGTCAAGTTCTACATAAACTTTTTATAAAAGAATATAAATGATGAATGTGGAAACATACTTTATTTAATACAATGTACATTCTTTTTTGACTGAGTTTTGTGCACTTAACTTTGGCTGATAAAATTAAGCTCAATCAAATATGTAGATACAGTTTCCATTTATATTTGGTTAAACACAAAATAAGCATACAGGCAAGTGATCATGCCCAAAAGGTTTGATATATAGTTAAACAACTAAATTATACATACCCTTACCAGGTTTTGTGATTTTTTAATCACGTGAAAAAATTGATGTGTCCCAATTTATGTTTCTTGAGAATGTGACATATCAAAACTTACATCTAAAAGTATTCAACAAAGCCCTAATGCACCTAGTCCATCTTTCATTCTTGCGTTAAGAAAATAAAACACAAAAACAACATCAAATTAACAAGGAGCATGAATAATTCAGTTGTCAACTGTACATATTGCATAAACACAAAATTTAGCTTAAAGACAGGTGGTCATTCTAAATATGTTTTATATACATGTACCTTATCCTAACAATTCCAGTGTTTAACACACTGACCTTTGTAAGCAACTGAGCAGGTGGAATTTTCACAGAGGTGACAAACTGAAATGTCAGGTTTCAATGGATATGTTTTTCGATGATTTATTAATAGGATTGAAGAAGAAAAAAGATCAAGTTCATACTGCAGTGAAAAACTGTGAACTACATATTGCCTGTTTAAGAGCCTGAAGGCTATAGCATGATGTAATGTATATTTGCTTTGTGTTTTTGATGTTTGATGTATTCTATTTTGTTGTTGTATGTTTTGCTTTTATATGGTTCAATTTATATGTAAAAAAAGACTTAGGTTATGAGTTCTTGCCAATCTGGCTTTCAGTGTATGGTATAAGTGACTCTACCTTTTCCACAGCACAATGTACAATAATAGTGAAGGTAATGGTAATGGTAAAAGTAATAATAATAATAATAAAAGTAATAGTAATAATAATAATAATAATAATATGCCATATATATTTAGCACATTTCACAAATATGTCCCTACATGGAGAGAAGGAAAGAAACAAATAGAGAAGATTGAGACATGCTCAGTTTATCTCCTTTAAGTCATTAGTTAACATTGGAATTTGTTTCTAAAAAGAAACGTTTTAAGAGAGATTTTCAACAGTATCAAAATGTTTCATATATTCTAGTTCATTCCAAGCTCTGCTGATCCAACCTGGAAAAAGCGTGACCGGTAGAACCTTGTATTTAATTGAGGGATAATAAGGAGAAACTTTTGGGAAGACCCAAGGTTTCAGGATAGAGTGTGACCTGTAGAACTTTGTGTTTATTTGAGGGATAGCAAGGAGGGACTTTTGGGAAGACCTGAGGTTTCTGTTCCATATATTCACAAACAAGTACATGAAGCTCAAACATGAATATCAGATCTCAATGAGCTTATTTTTTAATAATTCTTGACAAGGGTAATACCAAATGAGGCAAGTAATCTTAGGTGGAGTAAACACCCCCATGGTCACCACTAAACCCGATTCCTTCCTGACTCCACCACTTGTAGGGTGCGTTCAAGCTATTTTTAAAAGCTACAATCACAAACATGAATCACAAATCAAAACGCCGTTAAAAACACGGTTACTGCGGGAGAGCGTTTAAGCCATTTTTCATCAACGCTGATTCTCGCTCATTTTAAGCCCAGCCACTGCTCATCACACTGTGCAGTTTGACCCAGGAAGTATAGGTCAACTTCGCCGCGTGCTTTCTGTCTATGTTTACAGTCGACTGTCGGTCATACCAGAACAGGCCACGATTATGACGTCATAGAATCGTGATTGAGATCTACGTTTGTTCAAGTAAATTTTAGCGACTATGATTCTGCAGAATCACGATACAAAAACGCATGTTTTTCAGCATTTCATGTTTGTGTTTTTAAACACGTTTATTTTTGCAACCGTGCTTTAAACTGAACGTCTTTAAAAACTGTGATTCTAGGGTGAAAAAGTGTCGATTGAACGCACCCTAGACCGATTCCTTCCTGACCATACCACTTGTAGACGGGTGTCTTCGAGGAGCAAACACCCGGAGGGGCTAATGTAGCGACATGAGTTTGCAAACTTGTGAAGTGTCGAGAGCCAATAGCCCTGGGACTGGATCAAATTGGAAAATGTGCTGACTGTGTGCTGGGACAGGAGGCCATGTTTGAAAGTGATATGTAACATACTGAACGTGTGATGCAATGGATGAACGGATTGAATGAAGAAATATATGAATGAAAGAATAGATGATGATGATGTGGAGATGCGCATATGAACTTTTTTGTCTTTACACTAGTGTTACATGTAGTAACTGCAAGAGACTCTACTATTTTCTAACATAATTTATTTGGATATCTAGTTATAATTGGAACTTCTCTATACTCTATAGATATAATTTAGCTTTATTTTTCTCAAATATTATCACAGTATTTGTAAATTAGATTTTGTTTTCTTTACAATGTAAATAAGTCCATTTACAAGTAGACTCTTCAAATGTTTATGCCAAATAATTTTTTTGGTAAAGTTTGTTACTTCCCTGCTCTTTTACAAAGGTTCTTTCTTCGATTCCCATTCATTTCTTCTTCATGAACACAGGCGTGTTTTCCTGTTTTCCCCCTTTCCTACAGTGAGATTCTTATCAAATAACCATACTACAACTCAAGGTATAACATCTACAATCTCAATCACTATGTGCTCCAGAAACGCTAATTCCTTAAATCTCCCGAGCGTCTCACAAAACAGGTGTCACCTCTAAATTCCACGTCTTCATTACAATCGAAAGGGCTGTCTCATTCAAGAACTGCCTGCGTGTGTACATCACCCTGTAACATACACTCTTTTGGTTGTACTCTTAGAGAAGAGCATGACAAACAGAACGAAACAGTTGGCAGGAAATTACATAGAGCCAGCAACGTCTGCTCTCCGTGAAAGGAAATATGGGTCAGCTTACTTATGTATCTGCTATTCCTCCACCCCCGGCGTATCGAAAACGTTTGATTTTGCTCAGCCGGTGGGGGTTCGCCAGCAATCGAAGGCCATGGCAAGTGACCTGGTTTTTGTTTTCTGCTTATAGGAAGCATCCGTCCTCGCACCCCCATTGATCCCCCTTCACGCAACCCCTTTACCCCTCCTCAGACTTGTGTTGGGAGGGATCCATGCGTTAGGAGGTGAACGCCCACCACAGACCCTGCCAAATATAGCGGGAATGATAGATATCGGCTTCTGGTGGAGTGTGTCAACGACACCCTCATCTATAACACAAGAGTCAGATTTTTTCTTCCGCGATGCCTTCGGGTGAAGAAAGTTTCGCGTGACATGAATGTGCCACCCGTGAATGACAAGAGCACTTATCGTTTGTTCAGAGCCAGAAGGATGTTACCGCTGTGTTGGGAGTATATGAGTTAACGCCCTTCTGGCTCCAAACAGACGATATTACTTCTCAAACATTCATTTCCACGAAATAATAATAATTCAAGGACTGAGTCTTGTAAGGTAGCCCTATGCCACCTGTTACTTGAGCATAAGCTAGTATCGGTGCTGCTATCAGCCATGGGGGTATTATCTGAAACTAGAATCAGGAATTGTTCTACATCAGGGTCCATGCTCAACAGATGGTAAACCAACAAGACGACAGGACAATTTCATCTTGCATATGTTTATGATATCATATTGACATCTAAAAGTGTAAGAAGTGTTTTTGTAGCATCTACAAGAAAATGTTTCCATGACCTAACTCCTGCACTGTGAAGTATACTTTGCCATTTTGAAATTGCTAGCTTTTTCCTTTACTGTTCAACACAATTGTCTGTTACAAATTTTATGCATGCGCCATGCAAGTATAATTCTATGCTCAAGACAATATCTACATGTACATTGACACATTATCCTCAATTTCTCATAAATGGAAGAGATGCTTAAAATGTCTTAATTTGATGGGCCTAAATGGACATTGCCAGATGACCATTAGACCACTCCTGTTGTGAAATTTGAATCACAGTCGATTTCCTACTCTAACCTCACTCTGAACTAAAACACTTTGTCTAACGATATAACCCAAACCTTAAACCTTTACCCTTAAAACCCAGTGCTAATCTAACCCTAATGAAAAGAAAAGCTCTGAGAAAAACTTGCTGGAGCAAATGTCGAGTCACCAAGAGACCAAATCATTCTTCCTAGAGGAAACTCTTTTAAAAGTTCCTCTGCACTAGTTTGGCCAGGAGGGATTAGACCACCCTGCGAGGTCACTGACAGGTGGCTATCTCATCAAGTCAGCTCTCAACTGACATAAGAAAAAGAGGATCATGGGGGACCAACGCGTACTGATTAGGCATTGTTAGAGGGCGCAAGTAGCTACAAGTAGTACAGTGGGGCTTTAAAGTTTTTGATCAAGACCCCTCCTCACCTTTGCTGTCTGACTTGCAGACGATGTACTCCGGGTCTCCACCGACGATGTTCCGGTGCTTCATCCAGAAGGAGATGGAGAACGTCGAGGTCAGGTTGTTGGGCGGGGCAAACTGCTCGGGAACGATGACCGCATCCTCAACACCATCAAACTGGTAGATCTGGTCACTCTCGTTGCCATTGTCCGAAGTCAGTTTCTTGGTCCACTGCTCGCCGGCGTTGGGGCGGGGCAGGAGATCGTAGGTACCTGCATCAGCATCTATACAGAAGAAGGCGAGAGGGAGGGAGGGACAGAAAAGGCGAGACAGGAGAGGGGCGGTTGTTATTAGATATTACATTTATTTAAATACTTTAATAGAGTTTAGCACAAACTTCATAAAAACTACAACTCTAAAACCCCGACCACCCCCCCCCCCCCCCCCCCCCCCCCGATACCTAACTCCTGCCATCCCTCTCAAGAAATTGCTTTTCCATGCATTATAAAGGTAGATTCAGACATTACACACTTAATCACTTGACAACACCTGCAGCAAAATATAAATGTAAAGCACTTCATGTTTCTTTATCGGATAAAAGATGAATCATTGAATGCGCATACAGTAGGGACTCTTTAATGTTTGTAGGTATGTTTTTTGTTAAAACCCTAACATATTGCCACCTCCCATTCATTAATGGACAATTTTTGCAGAGGCAGATCTTTGTAGTTTTACTATATTACGTCTGAACAAGATTTGGGACAGAAAGAATGGTACAATCTTCAAACTTACTGCAAAGCGTGCGCTGTGACTGTGTGGAATAGGTCTCCCTGTCGCACCCGAACCCGATATGATCGGTCTGAAGGGTCACCGTGGTGGTCAGCGACGACGAGTTGCACACCAGACGTCCGCAGGTATCCAGGAAGGCCTTGGGTGCCAACGCGGTGGCCTTTGAACCCGGCAGGTACTCGATGCGCTTGGGCACGCCCTTCCATCCCGGCTGGCACTGCTGCGACACGTGGATGTTGATGGGGATGGTCTCGCTGCAGAGACCGCTGCAGTCGCAGGACTTGATCTGGAGGGAGTAGGTGGGTCCGCCGTCTGATGTGAGGGGTGAGACGGCAGAAATGCGACCTGGAGATGGTGGAAGAGAGGAAGAAGAAGAGAAATTTAATGATTTGATCTTTAGTAAGATACTCAATAGAATCGTGTACATGTTAGACACAACACTACTGTCAGTTTTATTGATGATTCTCATCTTTTAACAAAGCAACAAATAACAACAACATCACAAAAACAATGAAATTGTAGCAAAACACAAATCCAAAATTGCCCTTTTGTGGGGGGGGGGGGGGGGGGGGGGGGGGTGGGCAGGTCGCTAAAATGGAAAATTGTATTTATTTGCATTTGTTTGAGTCAAAATCTGTGCGTGCCTATCGAAAACTTTACAGTCTACTTGAATTTCTACCTCTCCAAGAGAAAAGGTACTTACATGGGGTTAAGGTTCTTAAAGAAATTATTTCATATCAACATCATGAATCAAACGAAAGTGTGATTCTGAATAATAACAATAATAAAGGCATAATGGCTGTGGTAGTTGTAATCATACTGGTACACAAATTCTAAATTTTCTAAAATGGCTGTACTTTATGCAAGAACACAGACTGCACACAGAAATGGTGTCAAACATTGCAGCGTGCTATTAGATCCATCAAGTTTGACATTTTAAGTAAGTCACTTATCGTCACTTTCCTCCAAGAATTCCCCAAAGAAACATCACAGTGTCTAGCGTACCCCAATCAATTATTGTATCAGCAATTCAGCAATACTACCCTGCATCCTAAATTGATAATAAAACACTTCTGCCCTAATTTCTTACTCATAAGGTGAGAAATAGGAGAGTTCCTCGGGCAATCAACCCATGCATTATGCGTCTGAGGGCATTATTACAGTTCCTCGCTTTCTTTACTGGGATTTAATTTGAGCGCGGTTTAGCGGTCAAGCCTCCGCACAGTGGGAGACTAACTCAAGACGTATGCTGTTTGCTCTCAGCTAGCCTTGGTTACCAGGAGTTTGGTTAATATATTTTGGAGTAGTCAACTAAATCCACCCTCTCACAATCTTAAAGAATAATAGGACTAATTCATGAACAATTCCTCAGTGTTTGTAGAAGCATTCCTTTTCCTCATTGAAACCACCATTTACATGTCTGAAATCCTTCCTATTGTTTCAAAATGCCACTTTGTAAAAAAAATATGAATAAAACATTTAAATCGATCAAGAGCATGAAACGAATTGAGCAAAATGCTGGTTTCCACTACGGTTAGCTTAAATGTTTACTTAAGCACATAAACTTTTTGCTAAGAGAACAGCACTGTTCTTGAACATTCACAGTGATCAATCTGAAAGGAAAGCTCATGTTCTTTTAGTAGACGGCACACAGATCGATGTGATCGATCAGCTAGAATGAATTGCTCACTGAGATCCAGGGGGCAATTGTTTGAAGCCAGCAGGCTCATGTGTGACGCCATAATGTCTGTGAACTGTGAACAACATTGACAAGAATTTCAATGTACAGTGAAACCTGCTTAGAAAGACAGCCCATATACGGTACAAATGGTGGTCATTATAGACAGGTTGGTCTTAATACACAGGTTTTCTTCAATGTATGTTGCAATAAGCAACGTTTCAAGGGAAACAAATCGTGGTCTTTATAGGCAGGTGGATGTTAATACACAGGTTTTAGAAGCAATGTTTCAAGGGAAACAAATCGTGGTCTTTATAGGCAGGTGTGTCTTAATACACAGGCTTTCTTCAACACATGTTACAATAAGAAGCAACGTTTCAAGGGAAACAAATTGTGGTCTTTAAAGGCAGGTGGAATCTCATTTCAGCATCTCCACCATTTCAACATCTACTATAGATCTCAACACAACAGAAAAAGAAGAAAAAAATCAAGTTTGGTTGCATAGACTACTACCACACATCCTCTTTTGTTTGTTGTCTTCGATACAGGAGTCATTAAGAAATTACCCCTTCGCTGTATGCCCTGCAACATATAACCCAAGAATTGAACTTGCTAAAGCATAGTACAGTTAGTCTTGTAAACTAGACTGCATGCTATGTCGTCCTACATGTAGGGTCACTTCTAAAGAATTGGCAATGCTGTTGACATGTATTCACTTTATAGAAAATTCAGTGCCGGTATATACGACTCCTCTACAGTGACGTATCCATTTGTAGGTCATAGATGAGAATTATGACTACGTGATTGATGAAGTAAGTCTAATTCAATATTCGAACAAACATCTAGGAACGGTTTAATGTTCTTCTCGATTTTGAATGAAATAACCAAGAGTCTGAGAGGTAGAGACTACGATCCCCAGTGCCCTGCAGAATGTCATTACATTAGGCCCTATAAGGAGTTTGAGTGACAGAATTTTCTTCGTTTTCCTGCGCTGCCTGCGATCCCAGATTCTTAAAACAAGAAGCAGTGCGTGTATGAGAAAGTCATCAAACATTGGCACACTTTTTTTACTCCAAATTCTTATTTAGACAATTTATTTCTGTAATTCATCATTTCTTTATATAATTTATCCGAATGTAATTTAGGTTCATTAATTTGATTGACAGCCGTGTGATTAACCTACAATCTATTTGATGAAGAACAATTCGACAAGAGGGAAAACAAATGGCAGAGAGAAAAATCAATATGTACATGAATGTTTGATAACCCTTCTCTCTCTCTCTCTCTCTCTCTGATATTGCAATTTTCCCCTCCCTCTGTATGTGTTTTAAATGTATAATTTGTATATCATTCTCAAATTAACCCTTCAAAAATGAAGAAATGCCCTGTATGAAAGTCGATATAATCTATTTTAACAAAAAGAGCAAGAGGATTATTTTTCCCTTTTTTCACACAATGCAGTTTAGTAATACTGTAATGAATTCAATTAATTTTGGCTAATTCTACATGTATGCATTGTTTTCTAATCTAACATTTTAATTAGCCTTAAAGCCAAGATCTGATCGTCTTCATTATTTATAATTATTTGTACTTGGAAAATTCATAATACAGCTTTATAACCTTTAATCATTTTCATGATTACCAACAAGGAAGACTCGGGAAGTATCGTAATTACGTTACGATTCCGTCATTTACATGATTATTCATGATCAGGACCAAAATTGTCATCATTAATACAAATTGTATCACTCACATATTTATTCATGATCCTAACTGGCAAAAAGTCCAAATTAAGCTGAAATTTAATGATCTTTATGAATGATTTTCTATGATAGAGGCTGGGGAAATTAAATCAAATTAAAATGTAACCATCTCCAGGACTACTTATGATCGAGACTGAAAGAAATTAGTTATTTACATGAACTGAATCTCTATCTAGTCTAGCAAACCTATATCATTCTAAGAAAATGCACTGCTCATTCTTGACAGCAAGATTGTGATCTCTCATTAGGGTCGTTTTGACCTTCATGAATCCAAACAAACTTCTACTTAATGAAGCAGACGTACTCCTCACTCGTATGCACTAATTGGCTCTCATAAATCTTGGAATCTATTTCGTTCTGCCTTCAGAATGGTCCCGAGAGGAAAGCGGAAAAAATGTTTGAAGTTGCATCTGTGCGTTTGTTATCTGTACTAAAAATACGGAAATGTGTACTGGGTAGTCACTTTCCATGTCTGATATCTGTACATGACTTCAAATAAACTGTGTAAAAATATATTATTTCTTTATTGGCTTCTGTAAATCTTGGACTCCCCTTTTCTCTCCTCTTTCAGCTTCCAAAACGGTCCCTTGAGATAATGTAAAAGGTCTGGAAAGTATTTTTTTAAACAGCTTTTCTGAAAAATGAAATTTTATATCTGATATGTTTACATGATTTTTCAAGACTTTCAGTAGAACATATGGCTAATGACAAATGTATTTTCATTCCCTTCTCTCGATCATGTGTTCTCTCTCTCTGTCTCTTTATTTTGTTCTTTCTCACTCTCTCTCCCCTCTCACCCTTTCTCTCTCCCTCTCTTGCTCTTTCCACTCCCATCTCTCCTTTACTCTCCCTTCCCCCCTCTCTCTCTATCATTCTCTTTCTCTCCCCCTCTCTTAATCTCTCCCCCTCTTAATCTCTCCCTCTGTTTGCCAGCTCTCCTTCCTCTTCTCTTTTCTCCCATATTTTTATCTTTTTCCCATCCCCTATTATCCTAAATTTCCTGTGAACTCAAATTTATCCACTGTGAAATCTTCTATCATCAAGCCCCGTCCCTCGGGCTTAAAGCAGAATGTCATGACGCTTCTTTTGTCAAAACATTCGCTGGAATAAGTCTAGATTTCCAACAATATTCCTGCAAATCAAATATTTAATCCTCTTTTATCTTGCATTTCCCTGGCAATTTCGAAACAGCTACATGTAGCATGGACACAATAATTCCCACTGTACATGTAATTGCAAGCAATACATCATAAATGTTTCTTCCTCTTCTGCTTCCCTCAGTTATTTCAGATTTCATTCTGATAAATTTAATTCTGATAAATTGCATTAAGGGCGGAATTAGTTTTAAAATCAATGTACAGCATTTCCACATGGGTCGGGGCAATATCTCATTTTTTCAAATTTGTATCTATTTGAATGACTATCGCTCAATTTACAAGGATTGAATCAGATTTTATTAATAATTCTCCCCCCCCCCCTCATCTGTTACCTAAAATATCAAGACGGCATCCTGCCATGTAACGTTTTATAACAAAACACTGTACTAGTGGGATATTCCATTCCACTTTATATGAAGAAAAAATGAAAAAACTATTTCCATCGGTTCTGCATTATTTTTTTTAAGAATTCTACATCCAGATGGTTACAAGCATGCAAAATGCAAACAGTAAGCTTTACCACATTAATGATAAAACCAATATCTTGAAATGATCAAAATTAGATTAAAATAATAGATAGCTAATCTATCCATTGTTTAAATTATCAATATAGAAGTAGAATCTAAAACAAAACACCCAATATTTTCTGCCTAAACACAAAACAAAAAACTTAGCTAAAAACCTTACTTCAATTTGTTTAAGAAAATGACAATAACACCCTTCTAGTTCTCAGCTGAGTATACTGCAGGTGTAATCACTCATAATTTCTATAAGGAGGTTTCTTCCAGATTTTTGATTTTGAGAAATTTGCTTTGTTAAAGTTAACCAGAAATGGACAGCTATCAATATCGCAGTGGGAATAATTGCAGATTTAACATTGCATGGCACAAACACTTTAAAACAAAGAGATGAAGTTTACCCATTACAAAAATATTTGTTTGCCTCATTTTTTATTTCTTTTTTGCCTGACATTTATGTCAACTGGCTTGCAAAAATAATAAGAACAAATTGCATTTCGCTAATGGCAAAGTTTTTGTTATCGCATCGCATTTCGTAGAGTTTACATAAAAGCTCTTAGGCTGGGCACAAATGGCCGGAAGATGAAAAAAATTCTTTATACAAAAAAATAGCAGAGTGTAATGAACCCTTTTTATTGATGTTCTCAAGACTTTTACAGATGTGGATATAAACGTGAAAGTAATAGACAAAGATACCAAACATAGGCAACAGATGGATAAGCGCAAAGGAAAGAAAATTATGAGTATGAATGCTATTTTTCATAACACTGTATAAAAAGAACTGATGTCAAGTTTAGAGCCTGAAGCATTTATGAAAAAAAAAAAAAAGTACAAAAGAAAATATATCAAGATTATTGAAGATGGAAAAGGAAAATAATATGTAACCTGACATTTATACAAGCATGTGTATGGCCTATATAGATATATATATATATATATACAGTTTTTTTGTGTGAAAGTCCTATAAAATGTTACTTTAATAAATCATGTTTCTTATTGAAGTTTCTTTTTCTTTTTCTTTTATAAAGTAAAGTAGATCTTTATTCGAACTTTGTAAAAAAAAAAATAGACATATACATTTCTTGGAAATAGGTGGACTATTTTATACAAAGGACCATATCTTAACAAATTAAACATTTCAAGAGAAACAGAATTAGCAGATTGATAATATAAAAAGGCTATATTTGAACTAATTGGATATTTTCACGGAAGTTACTACACATCAAGGATATTTGGACCAATCTGCGCAGTTCAACATTTACATCAATGTCAATTTTGCAGCTTTTCCAGTGGAAAATACCCATTAACAAATTTGTTTGACTGGACACCGATGAATCAAAAGCCACATTTCTGCTTGAATTTCTAGAAAAAACTTTGGCTATTCTATCCCCAAATGAGACAGAAAGTGGAAAAAAAGAAGAAAAAGAAGCAAAAATGCTGATCGGGAGAGCTGGAGGCTTCAACACCTCAATCAGTATGATGTAGTGGGACTGAGGGTGAAAAAAAGGAAGGGGTCGTTAAAATGAAGGTTCGTAAGCCATCTCGTTCTCTATCATTCAGATGCGGAAGAATATCACGGCAGAAACAGTCCATCAAAAGGAAGGCTCTTGATGTGATCATATATCT